GAGGGGGCCAGCAGGGGAGGGGAGAAATCTTACCTACCCCATTAGTCTGCAGGGATGCAGAGAAGCCAGGAGAGGGCGCTGTGGAAACCCCGGTGGTGGAGCCATGGCTCCGTGGACTTGGCGAGGCTGACTATGCCGTTGCTTATGTGGTGTGAGTTGGGTGGGAGGGAGGCCCAGAGGAAACCTTTCAGGCAAACTAGAGGTTAAGAGCACACACTCTGAGGCGAGACTGCCTAGGTTCAAGCTTAGCTTTGCCATTTTCCCATGACCCAAGTTCACTTACTAGAAAATTCCTCCCGCAATTCCGGTCTGAAGACTTTGTCCAGCGCCCGGATCTCCTGCAGCTCTTTCTCCTCCACCAACAAGCGGATGATCCTCTGCCCCAGGAAGCCTCCTGCGCCCGTCACGAGGCAGCTCCACCCAGCCATGGCACACCTGGGAACCAAGAGGCACGCTCCAGAAACCAGAAAGCTGGGGAGCAGGTGGGATAGAGGCCCACCCCGAAAAAGGCACCCCACAGAGGCCAGGTGGTTACAGGTGCACACACATCCGTTCTGTTCCCCCAACCCCTCCGCACCCACGACTACTAGAGAGAAAAATTTTAAAATGCTCTAACCTGTTCGATTGCTAAAAGTCAGATGAAAGAGCCCGAGTTCTGAGTCTCTCCCTGGAAGGAAGACTGGAGTTTTGCCCCATCCCCTCTGGCTCGGCCTTTTTATCTTGGACTCTATCTACTACATAGTCATTGCTCATTCCTGTCCCAGGATCCCTCCTACCACAAAGTGCGGAATTTCAGCTTCGGCTTCTATCTCCTTTCCCTTCGAAGCAGAGGAAGAGAAGGCCAGCTCCAAGGCCACAGCGATAAAGATGCTCGGACACCCGCAGGTGGCTCTGGCTGTGGGGGACCCACAATCTGTGAATTTCGGCGAGACTAGGAGACGTCTCCCAGCACAGTGGGATTTTTGCCGTGAAGTAGATACACCCAGGGAGGGGGACATTCTAGTCCCTGTTTCCTCTCTCAGGGTGTGGCTGGAAATGTCATCTTGCAAAGTTTAGACATTTGCAATGGTGGCAGCTCCAATCACTATGTTGTGCGGGAGGTGACTTTCTTTCCCACGTAATATATCCAGATGTCAATTTTGCTTCCCCCCTGTGGAGAGGTCTGGGGGAAGTTATCCAGTGATAGCCGCCCACTTCTATGGCCTGTATCAGGAGATTAGGGGTCTAGTTGTGTTTAAAAACTGTTGCATGTTTGACTAAGTGTTTATATTTTATATCCCCATAAGAATTAGTACAATATCTGACACATAACAGGAAGTGAATGAATGAATGAATGAATGGAAGGTTACACGAACAATCCAGGACTCTGAATGTCTTAGTGTTTTTAGTCCTATAGTTTAGGTCTCAGTCTTTTGGTGAACCTGTGCTGCTGACCTGTGAACTTGACCAGTGCTTCCCGGTCCCCCTCCGCCCCCCTTTAGGTGGAACAGGGCGGCTACAGGGGGGCTGGAGTTGAGTATTTTCCACCTCCCAGGTAGGCGAGGGTCTGCTGAAATAGTTTCTCTTGAGGGCGGGCCTTGCTAAGCGCAGAGAGCTCTGGCAGGCACATTTCAGAATGGTTCCTTTCCCCTCCTCCTTATGGAAGCTCTAGAGGAGTTTTCTCTGATACTCACTGAGAGAACCAGGAGGTAAACCAGGTAGAGTTCCTGGAGGTTAAACAAAAGTCTGGGGGCCTCCTGTGATTGGGCCCCCCTGAGTTTTTAACTTTCAGACTGGTCAATTTGTCAGTTACAGCTGTTTCCTACCTTGGTATGACTTTCATGGAGGTTTGTTCACAGATTTCTGCTCAGGTAAGTTGTGATTCTCCGGGTCTGCCTGTCTCTCCAATGGGGGGCAGCGGTTTGCTCTGTGACCTCTTTTCTGAGGGACTGAGCAGAGTTGTTAATTTTTCAGTTTGTCCAGCTTTTGACTTGTTAGGATGGAGTGGAGACCTCTTTAAGCTCCTCACATCCTGGATTAGGAAACAGAAGTCCTTTATGCCATTTAATTTTCACGATGTTAGCCTGAAAGAGTTGGTATTATTGTTTGAGAGAGGAAGACAGAGATGTTTGTAATCTTGCCAAACATCTCGAGGACAGTGACGTGGGAGTCTCAGCCAGGCAGCCTGACCCTGGAGTGGCTTCAAAGCTGATTCTCTTTATCAGAACAAAGGCTTATCTTTTAGATACTAAGTGTACCATTCCATTGTTGCACACTTTCCAGTGGAGAAGTTCTCTTCGCCTCGTCCACCAGGCACCCTAACACAGGGCCTCTGAGGGGCTGAGAGGCCCTCCTGAGAACAGCCTTTTGGCTGCATCTTTATGTCTTTGCTCTTTTTCCTTGGAATCTTGGATCTTGCCATCCGAGTCCAGAAGGAAAAACGACTTCAGAAATAACACACATGTGTCCATGACCAAAAAAGAGTATCGTTAACACCAAGGTAGACGTACACAGGGAGGATTTATGCTAGATTCTCTTGTAATGTAAGCGAACTCCATTATCAGCACAGCTTGCTATCATGATGATCACTCTTACCCCAAACCAAACTAGAATGACTCAGTCAAGCGCCCAGCTGGTGATTTCAGGACTGGCCATCATGCCTGCTTACAAGTCTTCATAAGTAAAGTTATTGCAGAGAAAATTGGGGAATTTTACAAGTTCACCGGCCAGTAAGATAATCAAAGCATCGAAGGGTTAAAGTCGGTGATGCATGGGCAGACCAAATAGCCATCTCAGACGTGGATAAAGAAGATTTGAATTTATTTAAGGAGAGGGGCTGGGGGCTGGGACATCCAAAGGGAAGGGGTACACAGCACTGAGCCAAAGGGCATTGGGTCCATGATGGCAGCAAAAATATACTTAGGACAGTGAAATAAGGAAGGGCATAGAAGCAACAGAAGAGTGTAGGGTGGGCTGCTCTGGCTCACTGAGAAGTCAGAGAACAGCAGGCCTTGGAGACAGGCTCAGGGGGTTAGCAATGCCACTGCCCATTGCTCCCCTCATTGCACGTCTCGCAGGGTCACTTAAAGGGAAGAAGGGGGAAGGGAATGGCTCCTCTGGGGGAGAGTGTGCACTGGGTCCTTTGTCCTGACCATACTTCTCTCTCTCCTGCCGGTGGGAATCTTAGGGGAGGTCCCAGGGGAGGGTCTGAATAGAATATCCACTATCTTTCCTTGTGTGCTCCTTCGGGGTTGTGGTCTCCACTGATGCTCGGTGCCAGGGCAGGGGGTCATTAGTGTAGCTGGTCCTGAGGCAGCCACGGTGTAACTTGTCTGGTTTTGCTGCTTTTCTGGGCCTGGAGCTGAAATATAACTGAGGCCTAGATGTTACCTTTAGGAGGAAAAGGTCAGGGGGTCTAAACTGCCCGACCAGCGATAGGAAAGATCAGGGGTCCAAACCTCATGACCAGAGATATGCTAGGGGACAGGTTACCCGGGGACAAGGTTCTTGCTTCCTCAGTTTTGCCCCTTGCGAGGCATCCAGGCTTTCTGCCCTGGCGAGTCTCCGTACTTGGTCCATCGTCTTGCTCTGCTCATGTCTGTCTAACAAGTATGAAAAAAAAATCTGGCTTGTGAGGTTGTGAAGGGGTTAAAAGAGTGGATGTTATTCTACCAATGATTCTCTGGTTTCAAACCGTATTTTCAAGGCTGTTAGTCATTCTTTTGCATCACAAAGAACAATCTGGTACTGAGGTATTTTCTTATTTCTGATGTGAAGAGATAATGAGACCAAAGTTGTGGACGTGACACAAATGGTGTCTGAGGCAGAGTTCTGAGATCTAGAAGTGAAATTCCAGAGGACGAAGTTCTAGGAAGTGCACCACGCCCCACTGCATGTGATGTGTCATCCTAAGGGGTGATGGGGGATGAGGCCCGGGGAGGAGGCCAAGAAAACACCGAGATATTGAAAAACTTCCCCAAGGCACCCAGCTTGTCAGGAGCAGTCCTGACTGTTAACCCCTTGTTTGCATGACTCCACAGCCTATGTTTTAAACTCTATTATTTCCCTACTATCTTTAGACAGGAGGATGATTTTTGTTGGGGGGTGACTTTATATGTATTGCTCTTCTGTCCAGAATGCAGATGCCCATAGATGTTTCATAGAGATGTAGAGGATATGCAAGAATTTCATCCACTAGTCAGTCATCATTGACCCGCCCTTTTCTTTCAGAGGGGGATTTCAGGCGAGAGAACAGCATGTAAAAAGCAGTGAGGCAGAGGAGGGCCTGACACATTTGAGGCAGATGAGGGTTTGGGGCCAGAAGTGTGGGGTGAAGTGGTTGAGCCGCTGGATAGGAGGATTGGGGCCTGGGCAGGATGGCGTCACACACAGGCTCTGGCTTGGTCTTCCCGTGGGCCACCTCGGCAGTCCTGTCCCCAGCTCTTTCTTTACAACCTGGAGAACTGGATCAGGTCTTGATTGATCTCAGCAACCGACCGGCAGCCTAAAAGAACAAGGAGTTCAGAAGCTCCTCTCTCTCAGCACCAGAATCCCGCCCCATCATGGTGTGGATAAGCCAATGGGAACAGGCCCCGACTTGCCGCTGGTGCTCACCCTGAGGCAATATTACGCATCCAGAATGAATGATGTCATTCTGTTTGCCTCGGGAATTATTTCAGGAGCCTGTGCTTGGGTCCTCTTTTGGCAGCCATGTCAAAATGGCATGACAGAAACGTAAAGACTTTTTAGCATTTTTTAAGCAATGCATGTGTGCAGTAGATACCCTTCACCCTGATCTCGGTCCTGCTAGGCTCAGAGACTAGGACGTGTCTGTCTAGGAGGAAATGACTCAGGACAGCTTAGGAGATGGGGTATTTCATACAGCAACAGCCTTCTAAGGAGAAGTTCTGAAAAATGAAACCCCTTTTGTAGTAAAGGGTCCTCATTAGAACGCAAATTTAGGATTGTAGCTGAGATCACACGGGGGCTACAGAAAGTGACTTCGGATAAGAAGTAGAAGAGGCCTGGCCGAGGTGGCTCGATGGTTGAGTGTTGACCTATGAACCAGGAGGTCACGGTTCGATGCCCAGACAGGGCACATGCCTGGGTTGCAGACTCGATCTCCAGTGTGGGGCATGCAGGAGGCAGCCGATCAATGATTCTCTCTCATCATTGATGTTTCTATCTCTCCCTCCCTCTCCCTTCCTCTCTGTAATCAATAAAAATATATTTTAAAAAGTAGAAGAAGAGGGAGAGAGGGGCTGCGTGGCTTATGGGCTGGAGAACCGAGGGCTGAAGGAAGCAGCGAAATCTCCCTGGCGACGAGAAGGCTGCTAGAATTGAACAGGATGTGTGATGTTTGCCTGGAATTTCTTTCTATGCCTCTGATGTATGCACCTTCACCTCCCCAAACATAACTTCAGCAAAATGTGTTACTCACAAAAAATATGACTCAAAAGAGGGTCTTTTCCTAAGAGTGGAAACAGAGGAAGGAGTTGAGTTGCCTGCCTGGGGTGACTGCAGCATACAGAGCCCGTACGCTGGACTGATTCAGCAGAAGCCGCTGTTCGGGCCACAGCGGCTCTCCCAGGATGGACAATGATCTCGAGAGCCTTGGGCTTCCACAGGGCAGAGAAGAGTGGGACTTCCAAGCAGGCAGACCTACTCACGGAGCACAGAGATGCCAGGATAGACTCTGTGGTTATGTACTGCAGGAAAAATAGTATTGAAGCTGTGGACCTGAAAAAAGGGGGGTATGGAAAGTAACCTCACGGGGTGATCTGATCATAGATTCCCAGCTGGGCAGATCATGGTGGGTAGTCATTCCCGAGGCATATCACTTCTTTAGTAAAAGGTAAGCAAGCCCTGTCCATGCTTTCTGTGCCTCCAGGTTCAGGCACCTTTGCAAGGCCTCGATGCCTCTTCTCAGAAGCCAGCACCCTCGGGAGAGCAGGTCGTGTTAACTGCCCTGTAACCCATCCCTCACGTCGCTATCTCCCACCTTCATGTGATCGTCCCTCCTTGATTGCAAATGCGTAAAGGAGGTTGGAAACTGTCCTTTCTTGGAAGCGTTTATCTCTGTTGAAAATTTATCTCTTGAAACATTTGCCTCTCTTGCGTCCAGGCGTACGTGCCCTCTGTTTGGCTCGAATAAATCTTTATAAAAATTCTCCACAGCTTCGGATGCTCTTATGTCGAGGGATGAGAACTTAGTGAGGTCTGTGCAGCCTTCAGATGATGGGATTTCTATGTGGACATTTTTGTTTTTCAAGACAAATCATCATTTTAACCTTTTTGTAAATACAAAAATTTCAGAAATTGGTCTCCCAGTTGGAAAAACAATACTTTTCAACTTACTTTGTTTTCAGCAATAGTGTTCATAGGGCTCTCCTCCCAGGGCTGTGATGTCACAGAGATATCAGGGGGAAATACCACACCTAATTTCCAGGGGAATTAGGTGATCATCGATCGGCTGCCTCCTGGGCAACAATTTTGTGTCGGCGTCTTACCTGCCTTGTGCAGGGGAGGAACAGGGAGTGACACAATCTCTGGGTTGCACACTATGATTCTGTATTTTGCCGAGTCCCATCAAATGCACAGGCCCCCAACCTGAGATCCCCTCTCTCCAGGGAGGAGTCTGGGGGGTCTTACCTGGAGCAGCGTCTTTTAAGCAGAGGATGCCCAGGGATGCCCTGTTGTCTGGGTTTCCTATTCTTTCCCTTCCCCTCGAACCCTCTTCTCTGTCCCTTGTTTGGTTGTGATTACTACTGTTTCTATACATTTAACACAATACATTCTCATTGTAGAACAATTAGAAGGGAGAGGAGCACAGAGTCAGGCACAAAAGTGCCCATAATCCTGTTTTTCTTTTCCTTTTTCCTTGCCTGTTCCAAAGGTGTTCCAAAGGTGTTCCGCCCTGTCTCAGAAATAGTTTCCGGCTGCATTAACGCTGCCATTAACACGGGAGTGGTGAGTAGGTGTTAACTCTTGGTGGAATGATGAAGCTATATTGTTGAGTTTCTATCAGGCTTTTGTGAAAAGAAGTTTGGACATCAATTTCCAAGAAGCGGGGGGATTTGTGGGAGAAGGACAGTCGTCTCAGCCTCCTGGAATCCACAGACACCGCAGGTCTTCCCACCCCTCCCCTGCGGCTCCCAATATGCTCTCAGTTCACACGTGTGCCCTCCCCTCCCTCATGGGAGGAACTCGGTGACGTTGGGTCATTTGGAATTGAGTCACTTAGAATTCGAAAAACACAAACTAAAAACCCCAAACCAAATGCCCTTGAAGAGGAAAGTCACCACCATTAGTTGGGAACCACTGTTTTGCGGGATCACTGGGACTCCAGGCTTTGCTGAAAACGTAGAAGTTTTTATGAGCGCCACTTCACAATAATTTCATTTTTGACTGAAACCCATGTAATTTTGAGACACGTTTGTCTTGCTGTTTGTGGTTACGGGGGACAATGCTTCTCCTTCTCGCCCTGTTTTTATCTCTCTCCTGGGTCCCTCTGTACTTCCTCTTTGACATAATTTCTCAACTATTCACAGTCCATGAGTATTGTTTTACAATGACACCCAGAGCCACATCCAGAGAGCCTGATAGGATCTGAACAGTCCAGAGTAACCTGCAGGCCTCGCTCCCATAATGTGACACCACGCTTACCTCTGTACACCTTAGTAATGGGACAGCAGGGCTCTCGGTGGGTGAGGACCAGGAAATACGAGTCATAGCTTTTGTGTTTCCTGCAGTTTGTCTTACAGAGGTAACTGAGAACGTGCTAAAGCTTTGAGGGTGCTCACTGATGCATTGCTTAAAATAGCAGAAGCTTAGAAGCAATCCAGATGTTCAACAATAGCAGGTTTGTTATATAAACTGTTCTTTCATGGTTAAGATGTATCAAAGACGAATCTTTGTCAGGGACATTTCTTTCCTACTGTCTCTTCTGGCATCCCTAGGCTGGGGAGAGGTGCTAGAAGGGGGGCTGCCTTCCTGCTCCTTAGACCTCCGCTTTCAAATCAGGAAAAGAGTTGGACACACTCACCTGTAAGGGCCATGGACGTGTGGAACTCATCCTTTACAATGTTCAAAACTTCCCCAACACCATGTTCACCCTGAGAGAGAGAGAGAGAGAGAGAGAGAGAGAGAGAGAGAGAGAGAGATGAAGGAACATTGTGACCATGAGCTGAATATAAATTCTAGGTGTGCTCAGAGACATGGAGACGTGGTGAGGAGCATGGGGGTATCTGTGAAACAAAGAAACACCATGAGGAAAAGGGGTGAGAGCTCTTGAAAATGTGCAGCGCGTTGCAGAGGAAGCCTGGAGGTGCGGGCTCGGCGTATCCCTCCTTCAGGAATCCGCGGCACCTGGAAAAATAGTTAAGCTTGGGGGCTAGACCACAGAAACGCATGCAAAGGAATGAGAAACGTGCTATCTCCAGGTTGGTTTCCCTTTGGTCTCACCTTGCAGGCAAGACCCCACAGAACTGGTCTCCCCAGGAAGACGCACTTCGCCCCCAGGGCCAGAGCCTTGAGCACGTCGTTGCCCGTCCGGACCCCACCATCCAGGTACACCTCCAGTTTCCCTTTCACAGCAGCCACCACTTCCGGCAGGGCGTCCACCTGGAGCAGAGCACATGCGGCCTGAGGTTGACTCAGAGCAAGGAGACAGCGGGCCCTCAGCATGGGCGAGGATCAGGAGTCTAAACCTCTAGCTTTTGTGTTTCCTGCAGTTTATCTTACAGAAGTTATTGAGAATGTGCTAAAGCTTTAAGGATGGTCACTCAGGCACTGTTTAAAGTTGCAGACGCTAGAAGCAATAGAGATGTTCAACAATAGCGAGTTTGTTATATAAATCATCCTTTTGTGGTTAAGAAGCATAAATTGCCAGTTATAAAAGTAGTCATAGGAATGTAGGGTACAGCCTAGGGAATATAGTCAATAATATTGTAATAACTATGTATAGTGCCAGGTGGGCACTGGGCCTATTAGGCAATCACTTCATAAGGTACATAAATGTCTTATCATTGTGCTGTACACCTGAAACTAATGTAATATTGTATGTCAAATGCAATTGAAAAGTAACTTTTAGAAAATCATAAACTGTCCATTCATACTATTAAAAATAAGAGGAGCCCTAACCGGTTTGGCTCAGTGGATAGAGCATCAGCCTGCGGACTCAAGGGTCCCAGGTTCGATTCCAGTCAAGGGCATGTACCTTGGTTGCAGGCACATACCCAGTAGGGAGTGTGCAGGAGGCAGCTGATCGATGTTTCTCTTTCATCGATGTTTCTAACTCTCTATCCCTCTCCCTTCCTCTCTGTAAAAAAATCAATATATTAAAAAAAAAGAGGAGCATATATAATAATATGATGCCCTTAATATATTTGTGTGAAAAGAAGAAAATTAAAAATATTATGTACCATTTTAAAACCTAAAATGTTATATGCGCATTACAGAGTTGATAAAAATAATTCCCAAAATATTGACATTAATGATAGTGATAAAAATAGGGGTACTTTTTATCTTTTTTTGCTTTTGTATATTTTATAGTTTCTCTGCACTGCACATGTTCTACATATATAGTAAAAAGGCCAAAAATAGAGGGGAAAAATCCACTTTCTTTCTTAAAATGAGTCAAGCAGCAATAGAAGAATCTGGAAAATAAGCTTCATGAAAATATGTATCTTGAAAATATATATATTCATGAAGATAAAGCAACAATTAATTCCAATTTAGATGTTCTTTCTCTGCCTCTCTCCTCTTCATTTTCTTTCCCCAAACTCCGTATCTAATGCACATAAATTCACTTTATGGGAAAAATTACAGAGTGTCCTAAATTTTTTGCAAAGGATTTATGGGGCATTTTAAAGTTGTATTGTGAAAGACAGTTATTTATCAGTGTAAGTGACACACTGTTCCTTGCTGGGTTGAGTCATTTGAGAAAATGTGAGGTTGCAATCCATGTAGACAGGCAACCTTCCAGCTGAGTGCTTCTTCCAGGAGGCAGGGACCTCAGTGCTTCGGAAACACCTCTAACAGCAAACCCACCGCAATGACTTACTAACTGTGTGAACTGGAGACGTTACTTAACACTAATAACTCCAGCATCCCATTCTGCAACATGGGGATAGTAATACCCACCTTGCAGGACTATTGTGAGATTGAGGAATAATAAATGTAAAGTATGTAAAAACAGCCTGGTACACATGAGGCTATTAAAAGTCTTTAGCCTGGCTGGTATGGCTCAGGGGTTGAGTGTCGACTTATGACCCAGGAGGTCACGGTTCGATTCCCGGTCAGGGCACATGCCTGGGTTGGGGGCTCAATCCCCAGTGTGGGGTGTGCAGGAGGCAGCCGATTCATGATTCTCTCATCACTGATGTTTCTATCTCTCTCCCCTTCTCTGTTCCTCTCTGAAGTCAATAAAAATATGTATTTAAAAATAGGGTATTAAAAAATCTTTAAAATGTACACACATATACCAACATATATGGTAAAAGAGAGGGGACAGTGCCCACCAAACTGCACAGAGTACATTGCTCTAGACCAATGGTCGGCAAACTCATTAGTCAACAGAGCCAAATATCAACAGTACAACGATTGAAATTTCTTTTGAGAGCCAAATTTTTTAAACTTAAACTATATAGGTAGGTACATTGTTATTAACTTAATTAGGGTACTCCTAAGCTGGCCTTTGCTAAAAACGTCCTCAATCTGATTGAGGTACATTCACTGAGGTCGACCCCTTCCAACTCTCCCATCCACACTCGTCTTGTATACTTGTTTCGTCTATCGCCTTTCCGAAAACCGACTTCTGCGCATGGGCCACGAAGTTTCAATTGCACTGTAGGTGCACGCCCCCACATGGTATTTTGTGGAAGAGCCACACTCAAGGGGCCAAAGAGCCGCATATGGCTCGAGAGCCGCAGTTTGCCGACCACGGCCCTAGGGGACCTTTATGATCCCTTCCTACCTAACAAACACACACACACCACACTCCCTCTGAGGTCCTCCTACTTACAGAAGCAGGAACGTCATCAAGTTGCCTCCCTCCGTGGTTGGAAACAATGATGCCCTGCACATTGTGCTTCACAGCTAACTCTGCATCCTCTTTTGTCAAGATCCCTTTAAGGATGATGGGCAGTTGAGTTATGGTCCGAAACCAGGAGAGATCTTCCCAGCAGAAGGATGAGTCGATGGGAGACATCTGCAGATATGGCATTGAATTTCTCTGTGGGGAATAAAAGGGAAACCTTAGTCCTGAACTCCTTCAAGACTACTTGATCCATTCCAAAAACGAGGCACATTCAGAAAGCTAGTGAATGATAAGTGAAAAGAAGCAGTTATGAGCTTGAAAAGAGGAGCTATAAAAACCAATCCCATTTCTAGCTCCTTTCCTTTACAAAAATAATTTTATACTTCAATTGCTTATTCATTAACCATTCACTGTTTCCCTGTTCCTTTATGCCAGGATCTGGGGACACAAGACAGCTGAGACACAGTCCCCATGTTAAAAGAACTCAGAGTTTAGTGAGATGGATAAGCAAAAGCATTTATAGGCCAATGTAACACATTCTGGTTGAGAGATGCACAGGACAATGACAAAGAAGCAATACTTCAATAATCCTAAATCTGATAGTATGTAATACTGACCCCTGACTCACCATGGGCACTACCAAATATCCATAAATTCCTGGACTCTGAGATAAGGGTTCCTGAAAGCCTCAAGGCCAAGTGTGTATGACTTAATGAGTAGGACTGTTGAGTGTCTCCTGGCTGGATATTGCTGGTACCCATTCTGAAAAGCCTAGGGTCCCTATCTTCACTGTAGCCAAGGAATTCCAACTTGACCATGACTTTCTCTCTCTGGGGCATCCCACCCCATCCGTCGGGATTTTAATGGGTGAAGTGCCGTTTGCCATCATCGAGTTCAGAGATTCCAAATACCTGGTGCTCCCTGGATGAGTTCCAGGTGTGCAGAGATGTTGACCCCTCATTTCTCAGGGCAGCAGGGTGGGGCCTGGGCTGGTTACACCCTAAGGGCTGGTCACCTTCGCTATGAGCACCCCGTCAGAGGGTCAGTTTATCGAAGTGTGCCTCCCAAAATGACCGTTTTCTAAGTGTGCCATGAAGTAGAAAATGTTGGAAGACCCATGCAAAATCCTATTTATAGCTTTCTCAGCACTCGGCCCTGGCCAGAACACTTCTGGTGACAGACCAGACAGCTCCAGGAGGAGAACATTTTATCTTACACTCTGTTTGTCTGGAAGCTCTGGGAAGCTCTGACTGTGAACTGCTACATCACCAGTGTCAGGCACAGGGCAGGCACTCAATGAATTCTTGTGGAAAGAAGGAAGGGAGGAACCACAGAAGGGACTTTGCCTTCTGTAATGCCTGCCCATTGGGCCTGGTATCTTTCCTACCTCCTGAGGTGACCGAAGATCCTTTAACAGTAAATTTGTCTTCAAGTTCAGTTGGTTGCGAATGTCATGTCGCCTGTTGCCAAGTTTGGGCACATCCACGGTGATCACCAGGGCTCTGAACCCCAAGGATTCTACCCTCTGGACCAGCTGTTTGTTTAGCTGCCGATCTGGCTGCACGTAGAGCTGGAACCACCGGAAGCCTCTGGGGGCCGCGGCAACGATGTCTTCCGGGGTACAGCTGGCATATGTGCTGGTGATGTAGCAGATGCCGGCTGCTTGGGCAGCTGCAGAACAAATGACACAACTCAGGTTGGAGGCCAGGGGCATTCCAGGCTGGGGCCAGAAGCCCTAGGACCTGCACTGCTTCTGGCCAACTTGCCCTGTGAGTGAAGAGAAGGCCTGACTTCCTTCTGCTGCCCTGTGGGGCAGGGATAGAAGTCGGTTTTTGTTTAAAAATTTTTTTTAAAAAAATTATTGATTTCAGAGACAGGAAGGGAGAGGGAGAGAAGGATAGGAACATCAATGATGCCCGGCTGGTGTGTCTCAGTGGTTGTGTCCACCTGTGAACCAAGAGGTCACAATTCGATTCATTGATGTTTCTTTCTTTTTTTTAACATATTCATATTGATTTCAGAGAGGAAGGGAGAGGGAGAGAGAGAAAGAAACATCAATGATGAAAGAGACTCATTGATCGGCTGCCTCCTGTATGCCCCACACTGGGGATCAAGCCCGCAACCTGGGCATGTGCCTGTCCAGGGATTGAACCGTGACCTCCTGGTTCATAGGTTGATGCTCAACCACTGAGCCATGCTGGCTGGGCGAAAATGGGCATCTTTTCAATCTTCGGGGAAGCGTTATGCAAACATAGTGTTAAGCATTCCTCTTCCCACCCTCCTTAATTCCAACCACTTGCTGTCCCTAAGCCCTTTCTCTAGAGAAACCTTGGGGCCGCCTGCCCTGCTTGAAGGAAGCCTCCTGCACACTGCAGGCCGCGGGTGGACTGCTTCACACCTCTGGCTGTGCTGGTCTCTCCATCGGGCCAGGCCAGGCAGTGGAAACCCGTGGGTGCGATGCAAATGGGGGCACTGATCTCCTCCCCTTGGATTGTGGTCCGGGTGTCCACCTGCGACACATCTCTCAGGTACCGGGGCCGGAGGCGGATTCTGTGCTAGACAACAAAGAGGTTTCCTGTTGGTGGGATTATCTCCAGCACCAAGGTGCTGCCTGCTGCTGAGGCCTCCAGATTCCTGGTGCAGTTGGAGACCAGACTAGGTCCCCGGAAACCTCTGGTGGGGGACCATTGGCTGGTAGCTAAATACGCAGCACAGCAGACTGGAGGCTCCTCTCCTTAAGGAAGCTTCTCCCAACACTGGTTCCACACGAACCCATCTTCTGTGGACCCCACAACCCCTCCTCGCTCCCTCCGTGGTCTGTGTTTCTGAGCTGGCCGCCCTGACCGCTCTCAGCATGTGGATGCTCGGGCTGATTCATCAGAGTAAGGACTAGAGAGGGAAGGCATAAACAGCAGAGAGCTCCTGGCCCTTCCCTCTCAGGTTCAAGTCTCTACGTAAGAAGAGGTCACTGAAAGCGGTCAAAGCCCAGGGGAAGGTCAAGGCGTTCTTTTAGCTAGAGGCTAATCCGTTTGGAGATATGACTTAAACACTGCTGTAGAAGGTAGGGAAATTTACCCATGACAAATATGTAAAACATTTTAAAGCAAACAGATACTTAGCTTCAGGGCCCCAAATGCTTATCTTTCACAAAATATTATTGCTCCTGCACACAACTTCAGAAAGGTTTTCCTGGCAATACTGATCGTGCAAACTGGGGCAGATAGGCTCATTACTTCATCCCTGAAATGGAGGAATACTCCACATTTCCTAGTAGTTTTGTGGAGACAAAATGAAATAAAGAGTCAGCAGGAGCTAAACAATCACGAAGACACAGAAGGTGGTGCTGGCCTCGTGTCCCGGGTCTGTTTGTTCCTGAGCTCTGTCTCACGGGGCCAGCAGCCTTTCTGCAAAGGGCCAGACAGCCAACACTTTAGACTCTGTGTCTTTGTCACAATGACTTAGCTCTGCTGTTGTAACGCCAAGGCAGCCATAGACAATATGTAAATGGCTGTGCATAGTTATGTTCTGATAAAACTTTACTTATAGATACTGAAATTTAAATTTTATGTAACTTTTGCCTGTTCCAAATTCTTCTTTTGATTCTTTTCAATCGTGTTATGAGATAATTAACCTTCTTTGGCTTGTTCACCATCCAAAAAATGGCGGTGGGCCAGACCTGGCCTGTGGGCTGCTGTGTGCTGGTCTGTGCTCCGCCCCCTGCTGCTCTAGTCCAACCCTCTGCCTTGAATCAATCTTCCTTCATCACCAGACTTCTGTGTCTTCATATTTCCTTACACTCGGAGTCCTCTCTCCTTTCATACTTTCTCTCCTGTAAGCCTCGTCTGCTCCCTGCCCAGGTGACTGGTGACCTTTGCAGAGGGAGAGTGACTGATTTGTGCTAGTTCTGCAGAGGCACTAAGATAAGTTTTCTCTTCAACCTTCCTCTCCCCAGTCATCTGCCCCCCAAAAACCCCAACCCAAAAGAACACAAAAGCCATTATATATCTGCTCTGCTCGTTGCAGGCAGAAACCAGGCCGGCTCCCTTCCCAGGCCTGTGAACCAGGCCCCGAGTTCAACAGCAGAAAGGATACAGGAGACCAGACTTTTTAAATGCTGCGATGTTGTCGTCCCGGGTGAAGCCTTCACCAGCTCCTCCTTCGATATAATCCCAAGTTGACTTGGACAGACGCTCCCGCGCATGGGCCTCAAAGTCTGTCAGACACACCACGGACATTTCTGCACCTTCAAAGGAGAAACCAAAACCAAACAACCAAACCCAGTAAGAATAATTCAGAGGGAGAGGAGAAGGTAAAGGGGGCTACAGCACGAAGCTGTTTGGATTCATGATTGACCCTCTGTGTTATTTTTATTTTAGAGAGAGGGAGAGAAAGAGAGAGAGAGGAAGGCGGGGCGGGGGGGGGGGGGGGGGCCAGCTGCCAGCAGCCAGGAGAGAAACATTGATCGGCTGCTTCCCCCACTTTCTCGACCTGGGGATCAAACTTGCAACCTGCCTATGTGCTCTGATGGGGAATCGAACCTGTCACCTTCTGGTGTACGGGTTGATGCTCCAATAAACTGAGCCACCCGGCCAGGGCAGCCCCCTGTGTTCTTTACCTGGGAAGAGGTAAATGTGCTGTCAAAGGTGCAACCAGCCAGCACGCAGCCATGCTCACTGCACTCCTGACTCTCCACCCCATCCCCACTCGTGATGCTTGGTCTTCTAAATTTCCCTCTTGTCTGTCCCCTCATCACTAAGTCCACTGCCTTAGAGTTGAGGCCCTGCCACATCTTATAAGATTATTTCAAAACATTTCTTATCTTTGTCTCGGCCTCCAGATTCACTCTACATCTTGTCTCCCTCCAGCGCTCAGGACTTTTCTAAAATGCAAGTCTGATCTCGCTCTTGTCTTTCAGGTGCCCACATCGTAGCATTCCTAGCTTCCCAGGACCTGGCCCTGTCTCACCAGCTTCGGTGTTTGGTGGCTTTCCTTGGTTGATTGAGTCGCTCTGAGTATTTCCTAAAGGTGTTGGAGGGCCATTTCATACCTCTGTGCCTTTCTGGGAGGAGACCCATCAGGGTGGGAAAATTGGGGGTGAACTGATACTAATATCTGAGGGTTTCCAGAACTGGTGTCTGACTTGGGTGGACCTGTGGTTGATATCAGGGAGGAAGATGATGTTTCCCAATTCCTTGGCTGGGTCATTGAACACGTTAATCTTGAGGCCAAGAAGACAACATATTACCTCCACTTGTTCCCATCCCCACTCTGAACCCTGTAATCCTGGAGCCTGGTCCTTCCGAAAGATGAGAGGGCAGGGTTTGGGGTGAATCCCTCCAGGAGGGGCGAGGGCAGTGGGGACAGAGCCTTGGAGATGCTGAGGCTCGGGTTGCAGTGAGTCAGCATGTAGAGCTCCTGCATGAGAGGGTTCCACTGGGAGGGGTGATAACCTGTAGGCCATAGCTCTGGGCATCTCCCAGCAGGTGTCAGCGGCGTTAAAACATGAGTAGAAACAGGATGACTTGGACATCTTTAAAGGATGGGGATGAGCCCCAGGAACTAGGGCTTCAAACAACCAAACAGGCAACTCCTGTAATGGACGGAGGGGCCAAGCAGGCCAGAGGAAGTGTGGGGTGCTGGGAGTCTTGGTGGGGGTAGGGATGGGGCAGAACTGGCCCAAGGGCATCCGCCTGTGTCAGAATCTAGTCAAGTCAAAGAGAGAAGTAGCCCCACACACCTACCTCGGGGGCCAGGCAGAAAGACGTTAAGTGGCAGACAGAAAACAGAGCCCTGGGATGGGCAGTGGGTTGCGGATGGAGGTGAGGGGGAGGAGCTTGGAGCACAGCCACAGGGCTTTTTATAGGCAACACACCTTGTCCAGGGTGGGCAGGGAGCTATTGAGACACTGAGTTGAGTTTGACAAAGTTCAACAACCACATCTAATTTCTCTCCTTCCCGCCCAACCCTCGGTAACTTTAGTTGAATGAATGAGTCATTGAGTTGATCCCACCACACTGCAAACGCTTATTTCCTACTCTGTGTGCAGAAAAGGGTTAAACCAGCAGCCTGAGAATGCTACCCTGAGAAAGGCCTGCTAGCAAGGTCGGCCCTGGGCTGGAGGCTGGGAACTTGGATTTCAGGAGGGTTCCTACGATTCCCTGATAAGACAGGCTCGCTGTGTCTCAACTGTTTGTGCAAATGATGTGGTTTATGCTGAACATTTGCTTCCCCTCGGAGAGTCTAGACTGCAGTGGTTCTCAACCTTCCTAATGCTGCGACCCTTTAATACAGTTCCTCATGTTGTGGTGACCCCCAACCATAAAATTATTTTCGTTGCTACTTCATAACTGTAATTTTGCTACTGTTATGAATCGTAATGTAAATATCTGATATGCAGGATGTATTTTCATTGTTCGCGACCCACAGGTTGAGAACCGCTGGTCTAGAGAGAGAATGTCTATAGGGCCAGCCCCAGCACTGAAAACACCCTGGGCTCTGGGCTCTGAAATGACTGGCAGACAACACTTCACAGGAGTGGCCACCACTTCTTGCTGCGTAATTCCCCTGGGAGAGCACTCCTGGGAGCTTACACCTGGCTTCCTCCAGATTCTGCCCCAGAAGCCTTTTCTCTGCTCATTTCGCTGAGCACTCTTTCACTGTAATAAATCACAGCCTCACCTACATGCTGTCTTCCCAGCGAATCACTGAACCTGGGACCCTCAACACACGTTGCATCACCCAGGCATTAGGACAGTACGCCACACTGAGTGGCTGTCCATCAATGTTCATTGCTTGAGTTGGACATTCCCCTGCCTGTCATCTCTCTCTGCCTTGTCGGATGAGAATTCTCTACCAGGTTTCAATTGTGGATGAAAGAAGAGTTTCCATGGAAAGTAATCTCAGGGTGATTTGATCATAAATTCCTGACTGGGCAGGTCATGGTGGGTAGTCACACCCCAGGCATATCACTTCCTTAGTAAAAGGCTTATCTTTGACAATAGGGTGGTGAAGCCCTGGGTCAGGGGTGGGCTAGAAGGGGTCAATGGGGAAAAATAGGGGACATATGTAATACTTTCAACAATAAAGACTTAACTTAAAAAAATGCTTATCTTTGCTTTAAGCTAGCCCTGTCCATTGTTTCTGTGCATCTGGGTTAACACACCATTGAAATGCCCCTTCTCAACCACCCCCGAAAAAAAATTCTAAGAGGTAACCACCCCCAAAAGAGCAAATAAGCTTCACTATCCTATTATCCAATCCCCGCCTTGCTTTCTCCCACCTCCATGTAATCTTCCCTACCTTAATTTCAAATGCATAAAACTGCACAACTGCTGTCCTCCGGAGCATTTGAAATCTTGCTCCCTGGCACATGTAGTCAGCTTGGCTCAGAGAAACTCCTATAAAAATTCTCTGCAGGTCTGGGCATTTCTCAACTCCCACTGTCTCAACAAATCCCCTCATTACCCGCACACAGAAATGCTCTTCTGCAGATTTCTAGCATAGAGACTCAGTGACGCTTGTGTCTGGTCCAAGGAAAATGGCTCAGCCTCACTCAGAATTACTTGCTTGGAGTAGTGTGAATTATATCATCTGAAAGCTGCTTAGAAATAAATAACCCAGCATCTGTATATATACCAAACACCATTTTTACCACACTTCTATCTACTAGTTCCTTCTATCTACTTCTCTGTGATGTAGACAGGAAGGTCTCCCTCTCTCCTCTCTCCTCTCTCCTCTCTCCCTCTGCATTTGAAGAGAATGAGACAGTTAATGATTACAGAGGAAGGCCCAGAATCCTGGCTTCTGTTAGCCTTTAAAGATAGATGTTTTCCAAGTTCAATCTCACGGTGCACAGCCAAATAGTTGGTTCACATGAAGTACTTGTTACATGGCATTTCAGAGAATTTCCTAGGGTGAAAGTACAATTATGATGCATTTTTTTCTTTTCATAGCATGTGGAGAGCTCAGTAGAGTACTGAGCCCATTGTTTTCCTTAGAGGTAAGGCTGACAGTTGAAGAGAATGACAACCTTGTTGTTCAAGGCTTTCCCTGAGTTTGGGAGGCAGACTTAGCTCTCTATGTTTTTATGTATTTCAGTTTGATCCATACAAGACTTAAAGGCACCAGATATTAAAGGGACGATCCAGGTCATCTAATGGTTTGCTTGTGTTCCCATTTTCTTTGATCTCCATTCAAATAAAGAAGAGGAAAGAATAAAAGTCTCTTGCGAATTAATAACTGTAGCTCATTTAAGCTCATTCAATTTGTTTAGGCTTTTTGCCTCATGGTAAACAACAATGAGGTACAACTAGTATACCAGTGATAAGAAAGCTAACATCTGAGAGCAAGGACATCCAGTGGTATCTGGTGCTTACTATCTGAGGATCAAATAGTTTTGCCTGCCTGAGGAAAGGGGCAAGGACATGGATGGGGGCTGGAAAGAATTTCAAGGCAGACCTTGCTTTCGCAATACTGCCATTTAATCTAATGCAGTTAGATAACAAGTTATTTTCCTTTGAAGATTTCAGATGACTTGTATGATTCATATGATCCGTGTTGGTGTCTTTTTAGGAATTCTGGGTATTTTCAGCCACCTGGGAATCCAACCTGTATTTTAAAAGCATTCTTTCTGGGATGAGGGCATACGACAGGGGGTAGGGGAGGCTGGGGGAAGGTCAATGGGGGAAAAAAGGAGATATATGTACTACTATGTGTAATACTTTAAATAAAAAAAATAAAAGCATTCTTTCTATGGGAAAATAGGTGCTGAGTTCTAAATACAAGGCTTCCAAGTAGAGTTTTGGGACTCAGTCTTAGTGTCATGTTGTGAATTGTGTGCTGTCTGTGGGGTGTGGAGACCATGCAGGGCATGCTGGGAAACAGGGACCTGAATGCTCACTTGGTGTTTTTAAAGGTTGGGAATTTTCTTATTCTACTGAGCAGTGGAATAATTTGATTACACAAAGACCTCTGGAGAAGGCAGAATGGCTCCTTAGTAATAATAATGACAATAAAATTGCAACCATTTATTGAGTGCTGTGTAAATTGTTTTATGTGCGTTCATGTTCCAACCCTTATGATAACCCCCAAGCACAATTATTATGCTCTGAACTGCACAGATGGGAAACCTACAGGGCAGGGAGATGAAAACACTTTGCCCACCTTTGCACATTGAGTAACGTGATCTGACTCCCATGGCCTAGTTCTTAAAGCATCATGAGAAGAAGCAAACCTGTGCAGCCAAGTGTGGCTGATGGAGAGCGTTGGCATTTAAAATGAGAAGCTTTGCTCCTTCCATCAGTAAAACCAAAATCCAACCAGAAAGTTGAAAGGTTTCATCATTTAGCTGGTCATAAACAAGGACACATTTAAATGCATCTACAGAGCACTCTTCCTTCAGTGCTCCATTTGATGATCACAATAACCCGGCAGCAGCCATGCCACTGTTTTCCTCTGCCTACGGCCAGAAAGCAGTGGTCAAGTTATAAAGTCCCTCCCTGAGGGCAGGGCCTGTACCTTTCAAGTGAACAGATTTTGACCCATGCTCCCTCCTAAGGGTCAATATGCTACCAGGTGGTCCTAAGACTTGACTAAACGCAACGTCTTCTGTCTGGAGCGTCTTTGAAGGGGAGCCTTCCTTGGCTGTCCTCAGTGTCCTGTCAACATGACCCCTTTTTGCCACCTTGTAAGTTCCCCGTTAGCAGCCACAATGCCTCACACAGACTCTGGCCTCTGGCCTCGCCCCACCTGCCACCTCATCTCCTTCCCAGTTCTAAGCCCACAGGAGACACCCAACCACAAACCTGACTGTGGGGTCCTCCAGGGCTCACGAAAGTGGTATGTAGAGGCAGCCACTCGAAGCCTGGCTCACAGCTGGATGTGGCAGGAAACAGCAAGTCACAGCCCACAGCCCCGTGAGTGCAGACGAGGTTCAAGGCTAAAAGTTAATCTTTTAATGGGAACGATATTCAGCTTTGGAAGTAAATGAGCAACTAGGCCAGAGCAAGGTTAATCTGGAAATGAACTTTTTGTGCTTTGCAAAGTTACCTCAAATGTCACTGAAGTTCGTTGCAAAAGGAAACTTCAAAATAAAAGAGTTGCTTATTTGCTTCCAAAAGCTGTATTTCCCCAGTTGGTCCAAGATGATTAGAAGGAGAGAGTGGGTGATTTCAACTGGGGAATTAAAAAGCCCCCGTGATGTCAAGGAAAGCTTGTCTGGGGAGGAGGGGATGGGAGGGTGAGGAGCCACCTCCCGAGGAACCCAGTCAGGAGGGTCCGAGGGGCGTGCTGTGTAGGGCTCTCCTGGACTGACAGAGATTAATGTTAAATTAGTGTTTTGGATTTCTTTAGATAAATACCCAGAAGTGAAGTTGCTGGGTCACACGGCAGTTCGATTTTTAATTTTTTGAGGTCTCTCCATACTGCTTTTACAGAGGCTGCACCGATCTGCATTCCCACCTGCAGTGCACCAGGGTTCCCTTTTCTCCACATCCTCACTCACACTTGTTGATTTAATGATGATAGCCCTTCTGACAGGTGTGAGGTGATAGCTCATTGTGGTTTTAATTAGCCTTCCTCTGATGATTAGTGAGGTTGACCATCTTTTCATATGTATGTTGGCCATATGTATGTCCTCTCTGGAGAAGTGTCTATGCAGGTCTGCTTTTTTTTTTTTTTAAATAGGATTTTGTGTGTGTGTGTGTGTGTGTGTGTGTGTGTGTGTGTGTTAAGTTGTATGAATTCCTTACATAGTGTGGATATTAACCCCTTATCAGATGTATTATTGGTGACTGTCTTCTTTCACTCAGTAGGTTGTCTTTTTAAAAAAATGTATTTTATTGATTTTTTTTACAGAGAGGAAGGATGAAGGATAGAGAGTTAGAAACATCGATGAGAGAGATAGTTAGAAACACCGATCAGCTGCCTCCAGCACACCTCTTACTGGGGATGTGCCCGCAACCAAGGTACATGCCCTTGACCAGAATCGAACCTGGGGCCTTTCAGTCCGCAGGCTGACGCTCTATTGACTGAGCCAAACTGGTCAGGGCAGTAGGTTGTCTTTTTATTTTGTTGATGGTTTCCAGTATTGTACAAAAACTTTTCAGTTTGATGTAGTTCAATTTGTTCTTTTGTTTCTCTTGGGGAGACATATCCAAAAAATATTGCTAATTGCCTATGTTTTCTTCTAGGAGTTTTATGGTTTCAGGTTTTCCATTTAGTCTGTAATCCATTTTGAGTTTATTCTTGTATAATATGGTGTAAGAAAGTGGTCTAGTTTCATTGTTTGGCATGTGACTGTCCAGTTTTCCCAAGATCATTTATTGAGTAGACTGTCTGTACCCCATTGCATAGTCTTGCCTTCTTTGTCATAAATTGATCATATAGGCCTGGATTTATTTCTGGGCTCTCTATTCTATTCCATTGATCTATGTGTCTGTTTTTATGCCAGGACCATGCTGTTTTGTTATTACCACCTTGTCACATACTTTGAAATCAGGTAGCAAGATACCTCCAACTTGGTTCTTCTTTCTCAAGATTGCTTTGGCTATTCGGGGTCTTTTGGAACCATTAATATTTTTGAATGGAGAAATGACTCGGTAATGTAGGCAGAAGACTGAGAGAAGCAAACATAAGACTGCATATGAAAAAACTATTCCCCAAGAACGATCCTGTGGGATTCATCAAAGGTCACACTAATTAATGCCTAATGTGTCCAGGTCCTTCCCTCCGTGCTTCGGTCCCAGCTCTTGCCACACCTCTTCAGTATTGCAACAACTAGCATTTTTAAAATGCTTACACTATGCCTGGCACATTGCATGCATAATTTCACTTGATCCTCACAACACCCATGTGGGTAGACATTATTTCCCCCAGTTTTCAAAAGAGAAAATGAAATTAATGAACTTGCCCAAGCCTTTTGTCAGTAATGAGCAGAGCTGGGATTAGAACCTAACCTGTGGCCACCATTCAGTGGCCTGTGGAACATGAAGGCTACTCCAAGGACATGGCATGGGATATGCCTGTGTTTTAGAATCTGTACTTGGAGGAAAAATGAACAACTCTGGGCTGATTTGTTATACCTCGCCTTCTCAAGGCTCACTCCATCTTTGCTTGGAGGGTAACTGCTTTTTGCTGTTTTGCCACTAGATGACAGTATTACCTCAGACATGCTTTCAAATTGGCCGTTATCTGGGACTGGGAAATCCCTTTCCCCCAGCAATTTCCACTCTCCACAGTGAGCCTCTAGGCCGGCCAGCTCTCATGTCACCTGGCTGTTTGCTGTGCCCCGATGCAGACTTTCCATAGGCACTGTCCACACCTGGGCCCCATCCCTCCCTTCCAGGAGACACTGCAGTGCGGCACGAAGAACACAGACACGGGAACATTAACGCCCGAGCTCAAACCTGCAGCCCTTACTGACTCCCACATGCTCCTCAATTTCTCTGCCTCTGTTTTCTAACAACATTAATGAGCAGTAAATGAGTCGATCCTTAGAAGGTGCTGGCGAGGAAGTTCTCGAACTAGATTCTCAAGTTTGAACTAATTCCCATCCTGGGGACCTTTTGAACCTGACCCTGCACTGAGCTAGGGAACAGATCCTGTCTTCTACGGCAACATACTTGAATGTCAGCCTTCACTGCTTTAGCGCAAGTGAGTGGCTCTCAATGAGGCACAGTGGGCACAGGCAGATGGAGTCTTGCAGCATTAAAATTGGTTCATGATGGGCCCAACCTCAGAGCTGATACTGGGCTCCACGGGGCAGCCCCAGCGGGCTTGGTGGGTGCTGCAGGATGAGGCTGGAAGGAGATGCTGGTCTTGCTCAGGTGGGCCTGGGGTACCTGTTGAACAATGCGCCTGCTTCATTTGGGTGAAGAGAAATGACGGGTCAATCTGGAGCAGCCATGGCCCAGCTTTGGAGAGAGCAAATGTGGTTCCACAAGCAGAAAGGAAAGACCCAACCCTCCACGATGGAGGACACTAGACCCCCGTGGTCCCTGCTGTGCCAGGTCATCCGTCTTGCTTGGGCTAATTCGGATGAGCTTTGGACTTTGAGGTGTGTGCTAAAGCCTATCAGGTTAAAAACCTACCTGACCCTTTGGAGCAGGTTAATATTAACTGTGGGTTGTTGGAATTAGAAGCCAAACCAGCCGTGGACGGGGCTAAATCAAACCAAGGGGCAGTTTGCATCTTTCTGCAGCCACTGAGATCCTTATAGGCCAGGAGCTCAAAGTTGTGGGTGAGCCATGGGTGGGGCAACAGTCGCAGGGACGGACAGGAGACGCCCGAAGAAAATGTCCTTGTTTTTTCTTCCAGTCAGTGCCCTCCCCTCCAAAGCTGTGCTCACTATTCTGATGCCATCACCAAGGATTAGCGTTGCTTGTTCTAGAACTTTACATTGTTAGGATCAATCAAGTGATTATTTAGGTATGCACATCTTCTTTCACTCAACAAAATGCTTTTGAGATTCATCTATATCGTTGCTTGCTTGAAGTACTTTACTCGTTTTTATTGCTTAGTATTATTGTATTAATATAACACATATTTGTTTGTCCATTCCCCTTTTGGTTGGCATTATTAGGCTTGTTTCCAGTTTGGGGAGTGATTATGAATAGAACTGCTAAGAACATTCTTCCTGTGAACATGTTTTCATTTCCCTTGGGAGCTGCCCAGGAGGAAAACAGCTTTGCAACAGAGTCGGTGTTGTGTTTTTTCCTCCATCACTGATCATTTATCCCCCCAATACCCTCTTCCATCTTCCCTCCTCCCCCGCACACTATTGTCCGTGTCCATGGCAGGGAAGAAAAACTTCTCCAAAGTAGCACTGGAGAAAAAGCTCTCCGAAATGGTTGTACCATTTAGTTTATTTATTTATTTATTTTTAAAAATTTAAATAGATTTTTTAGAGAGAAAAATGACAGGAAGAGCGAGGGGGGAGGGAAAGAGATAGAGAGAAAGATTATATATATATACACAAATTTGTTGTTCCACTTATTTATGCATTCATAGGTTGACTCTTGTATGTGCCCTGACTGGGGATCGAACCCACAACCTTGGCATATGGGGATGATGCTCTAACAAACTGAGCCACCTGGCCAGGGCGTGGTTGAACCATTTTAAATTCCCACCCCCAGAGTCTGAAAGTTTCAGTTATTTCACTTAAGTTTCATTCTCTTAGCTCATGGTCACTACTTAGGACAGTTCTAAGAACCATAGTATTGGTTCTTACAAACAGATTTCTGAGGGTTCTGTCCCCAGGAGATGCTTTCTACTTGAATGCCCTTGATAGGAAAAGGGTTTCCACGCCTTGGCACCTTAGATCCGGCATGGAAAATCAGGAAGATGCTCAAGGGGCAATGAGGGAGGAAGGTACAGCTCAACACACCATGCAGGACCAAACCCAACAACCAACTGGATGACAGGTGTTCAAGCCAGATGACCCTCACATCCACAAGTGGCTGTGTAACAAGTCACTATCCCATCCCTGAGTAATCAGAGAATTTATTTGCAGTCTATTAGCGAATCGTTCCCACACTGAGCACAGATCTTAACTAAATTTCCCAAGTGACATTTAAGTCTCTGTTCTCCATTATGAAACAGTTGATGAATTACCATGCTCAGATCCTCCCAGGGGCGCTTAACTTCATTTGTTTAAGATTGCAGCTAATTTTTGAGATCCCTACAACAAGATATGAAGTAAATATCATAAGCCAGGGGTCCTCAAACTTTTTAAACAGGGGGCAGAGCTTAACTTCATTTGTTTAAGATTGCAGCTGATTTTTTAGATCGCTACAACAAGATATGAAGTAAATATCATAAGCTATGATGTAAATGCTAGAGAAGATGTGGACTTTGTAGGCAAGATAACGACACTGCACGCTGGCTGCACAGAATTTAGCCAGTCACATCACTTCTCTTCCGGTCCCTCAAAACCAGAGTGGGAACAAGAATTCC